AAATATAGTTTAAATTTTAATTAATTGAAATTAAAATGTGTTTTTAATGTTATATTTGTATTAACATTGTGTTCATTAAAGGTGCGTGCGGGAAGCAGTCGCCGGCGGATACCTTTCACTGAGCGGCATTTCTTTGACGGTGATATCAATGAAACAAATGTATGGTGACCATCATTTATTGGACATTTATTCAGTATTAATAATTGATAATATTATGTAAAAATTCCATTAATTTAAAATCAATTGATACTAATATGTGTATGAGTTAATTTATTTATAACTCTATTAAATCACTTCGTTTTTTACTATATGTAGCTTTGATTATTAATTAATTGATATAGCTATAATTATGTATATTTAATTGTAGTAAATATGGCATGAGTTTTTATCAAAAAATATTACTTATATATATGTAAATTTAGTTTGATTAATTTTCATCATTAACAGTTATTTATGGTGACCCTACATTTAGATGCGTCTCATAAACAATTATATGAAACGAAAGCTTTTCTTTCCCGAGGGAATCTTTTGTCGCTGATCATCCTCAAGTTTGACGTATTAATGAGATGGCTGGCTTTTTGTTCTTGTTCATTTCGTCGGCTTTGATCATTTTTCTGTTGTCATGAATTAGAATAAAAATATTCCCCGATACCATCGAAAATGATTCTCTAATACTGAATTATAAAACGATTTTTCAAATATGAAATCCTATTTTTATCATATACTATAAGATTTTTTTTATATATGCGAAATAATCTTTTAATTTTTCAATTTAATACAATGCACATTTCAACAAAACTTAATCATATTATTTCGTAGCTACGTAGAACTCTCGTAGCACCGTAGACCTCACTTCTACGGTCGTAGAATGAACATACATTCTAATTTCTAATAATAATAGTCAATAGTTTTATTCAAAATCAATAAAATATAACAAAAATAACATACGTATAAATAAGCCGCAAACCCAATCGTCCCCTATTTGTCGTGTTGCGAGGAATCGGTAATAAATTCAATAACAAGAGGTGTTCAAAGGAAATTGAAGAAACATGGTTCCAAGGGTTCATTGAGATAAGTTTGTTGACCGATGAATAAATTGTTTTTATATATATTATAATATATTTGGTTTAAAATACACTTTATAACGTTAGTTGAAAAGGATTTTAATAATGGAGATAGAATAACTGGAAACTGGAATTTTTATTTTCAAATATTCTTGAAGAAAAAATATTAAAAAATTTTAGAGTTTTAAAGTATATTTTTAGCATTATCCTTTATTTTATAAGTATGCTAAAAAATATGTCTTCTCACAAATCTAGTATAATCTTATTTATATAAAAGAAACTTGTGTTAGGTACACTATTTATAAATCAAGAACGGCTTTAGGGATATGGTATTAAAATTGGTGGAGAGATAGCTTAGAACTAGGAGACGGACATAGGATATTTAATTCTGTTCGATTGAAAAAACTTAATAAATTTCAATATCTGAATAAAGTTCGCCCTGTCAGCCTTACACATATCACTAATTTTGATATTAACGCGGACGAAGTTGCGGGCAAAAACTAGTTTGTAATAAATTTAGCATCAAACATATGCGTAGCTCCATAAAACCGTCAACATTATGTAATGTCATTGACCCCTAACGTGTACATTGAATAAATAACATTTCCACCTGAAATAAAAGGACAGTAAACGACGGTTGCCCCGAAAAGTAGTTAATCGTATTTAGAGACCGCTTCCGAGCACGAATAGCTTCATTTACTATTTTTATTTCCTGACAGTGATGGGGAAATTGATTTTGGTATCGATGAAATAGCCAAGGCCTGAAAGTCTTCTTGAAATTATCGGTACCTTATTTGGTTTCTATTATAATCCATCTATTTTTATTTTTATTCCAATTAGTTACACTTGGTTGGACTGAGTTTAAGAATGTTTATTTTTATAGAATTATTATTATCATTGAATTCTTCATAATTTTGGTATAAGTTTAAAACTAATTATATTTGTCGACATAATCATGTAATGATAGATACATCACTAAACATAATAAGAGCTATCGGTGTATTGAGATTAACTTGCTTTTATAGCATCAAGTTAGTGTGCATTAAATTTAACGATTCTCCTTCATTGGACCATCGCAGTGAATTGGTCAGCGCAAAGATCCTAAGCAACTATTAAATATTCATAATATTTTAGCTACTTAAATTATAAAACTTTTAATTGTTAAAGACTGGACTTTACGAAAAATTTTGCTATAATAATTGCAAGTTTAGTTTTAACTAATGTTAAATGTTTTAAAAAACAAAGAGAAAAACTGACTCATATATTAAAGAGTTCTATACATTTTCACTTCAAATACACAGTCATTAGATTTAGCCCTTAAGGTTATTTCGGGGACATGAATGTGTATCTGTTAAAAAACAATTATCAATGTAATCAAAGGCACCCTTGCTCACGGCGACTAATTAATCGCATGAGTTGAATTCAATCGGCCGGCAGTCGGTTGATTAAAAATCGCCCGGAAACTCATCCTTGACGCATAAAGTGTTTGGTTGACCGTACAAATCATGTATTGTGGAAAAAGCTTGGTATTCTGTCATATATCTATGTACCTATAAACGATCTGGCTTCACAATCAATATTGGATAGCAATTTGGTGGATAGTATGAAAGATACTACTACTAGCTACGAAGCATGTATTATCAGAACATTTCATGTATTTAGCTATTTCTTCTTTGGTTTAATAGTAATATAAATTTCAAGGTCTATAAAAACCCTTGATTTAACTTTCACAGTACGTTCAATTTAAAGCAAATAGATAAGAAAATATAAAAAATTGTACCTTAAATTTGCATTCTGTTATAGTTCTGTGAGCCTTTCTTAATATTTGATCGAAAATGTAGAATTTTATTTTGTTTATTAAATGAAGGTAACATCTTGATGAAACCGGATTTGGTTGATGAATGAATGATGAAACCTGATGATATTATTTTGTGACTTATATGGAACAGGTTAATCGATGTGGACAGTATTACAAAACGTACTAAAAATATAAGTTAAATTTTGTACACTTTCAATATAAAGTATATTTTTTCGTTATGTTATATTACACTAGACATTTTAAATACTTTTGCATCAATAGTGATACGAAGAAGACGTGAAAGTGTCTGAGAGTAAAACAAGGAAATAAAGTTTTATTTAAAACTAAATAGTTATAATAGGTGAGTTTATCTTGATCAAATAGAGTGTGAATTTGAACTATTTACTTCCCTAGTCCTAACCTTCTACTTACGATAAGATCTAACTTGATTACTTTTTGAAGACAGCAAAATATCTTCGATCAATGAGTCATACATTTGTTACAGATAATGTCGTTTTCAATATATTTAAAAGTATTCCAGGTGCCCAAACATATAAATGCTAAGTAGCTACCCTGGAGAGCAAATCGTAAAATTAGAAAAAGTGCCTCTAGGGTATCCGCCCTTATCCAATTGAAGTCACTTTTACGATCCTATTATAAAATAGTCTTTATGAGCAATTTTACTGCTAAAAGACTTACGTAATTTCGTCACGGGTTAAGGCTAAGATGAGATTTGAGTTAAAGAGCTATTAAAAGTTTCGAAGCGGTTAACCGTTTCTGGTCAGTGGCAGCCGAAATTTAATTTCAATTTTAACGACTGATGAAATTCAGATGATCCAAAGTTGTGAAAATATACATATTTAATCTAATCGAATCAGTCAAGTGTACATTTTTATATTCAAAATCATTGATAGTCTTTGAATGGATTGGATTTTGGTGTTTTCTATATAAAATTTTTCTTTACTATAATATATTTTTCACTTTTGAGATGCAATAGAAATCATACTTTATCTAATTTACATCCTATTTGTACATAAGATAAAAGGAAAATGATTACAAGATCTCTCACAAGACACAACTAAGTTAAGAGTAGGTAGTTGTTATGCAAATATACATATTGTTCTAACTTACCTTCTATTTTAAAGTCAGTTGTCTTCTAAAACTATAATTTTGATGTACTGAACTAATACAGATGTAGTACGAAACAAGTTTATTATAGACTATCATTGATGAACGTCATTTTCCCTTGCAACAGATGAATGGAACAATAAAAGGGGTATTCCATCAAAATCTCGTATAAACAATAGATATAAAACGATCCGAGCGGAACGCCCCTTAAGCCGCCGACTCAGCGCGATGCCTGATATTTATACAGGTTGCTATAATTATAATAACATTTCAAAACTATACATTATAGTTATATATTGCTTTATATATTATATTCCAAAATAATCTTTGTGAGCCTTTACTAAAAATTTCATCTTTAATACTAAAGAGACTATGAATAGTGTTTTGATGATATAGTTAAGAATAAATATATATTAATTATTTCTATATAAAAAAATTGAGTAATTATTTTAACAGCCTGTATAATGATACATTTTATACCGTTGCATCCTACTCGTGTCCAAATCAATCACATCTGCGAGTGACACCTGAGGCTGATTTAAAGCCGAAATACATATGTTAGTTAAATTACATTTTAGTTGATACATTGTTTAAAATAGTTGATGCTTTACAAAAATAGGAATAACCTATTCCTGACTAGCTATTCTTGTTCTTGTACTATGAAATTCTACTAGATATATGTTAAAGAATAACAATATAAAATTTAAACTTTAAAGACTTTATTTATAGGTCTTGTATATAATTTGTTCTCATTGTTTTATTGGTTTCGTGCTCAAGGTGGCGTGAGAAAATACACTTTGTTCCACACTGGACGTGAAAACGACCATTGTGTTTATATTTAGAAAAATTGCTCTTTAAATTTATAAGGTTAAACTGTTACCAATTTAAAGTTAATGGAAGATTAGAAAATATGGCCGTCGTGATTTTATAATGGGGATAAAAAAAAATCGTATTTGGAAATGTATAACATATCATATATATGTTATCATTTTATATTTCAGTGTTATATATCAGGGTCTTTGGAAAGTAGGAGGTAAGATGGCCTTTGTGGGGCTATCACAAATCCTTGGCTCTCGTTGGAAACCACGAAGTTTTGTGAGGAATTTGTGAACTGGAAGGAGACGATCCATTGATATACCCTGCAAGGAGATACAGAAATGTAATGATTACAAATTGTTGTAAAATATACATGTTTAAACTCAGATATACATTTTTACGTCTTGATTTTTCATAATGAATTGCTGATTATACTGACAAGGAAAAAAATGTATTACTTACAGGCGATCTTCTGTAAATTACAGCTGATATAAGTCTTCCCCATAGAATTTGTACCAGAATTGGACCATACTCTTCATTAAACTCCATCAAATGTAATTGCATCATAGTATCCAGATTTTCAGCATCAGCTTTGTAAATCAATGATTAATACATTAACAAATATATAAACTTTTGAATTTAACTGTCAAATAAAACCCTTCATTTATTTCACTAAATGTCATTCATAATGGGAATATTAGGTATCATTAGAATTTATCATCTATATGGGATTCTATTCAGTGGCAAAAATATACTAATGATCTGCTATTCATAGGTTGGGTTAGATGAAACTAATTCGAATATCCAAATTCACATAATTAGTACAGTGTTTGTAATTAAATTATATCACTAGTTGGGGTTGATTGGGATTTAGGATTTATAATGAATTCTAAGTGTTTCGCGAGTATTCATTTAAATGAAACTAATACCTTTCGGATTATGCATCGCGTATTTTATTATTGTAAAAACTACATACTCTTTAGCAACCGTGATCACTGGCATTTTATAATAATAAAATACGAATAGCATAATCTGAAAAATATTAGTTTAATGTAGGATATATGTTTTCACGTTGATTTTTTCAGAATTTTTAGATGAATCTGATATCAAGAGCTCAGGAACTCACCAATTCTCGTATTATTAGTTTCCAATGACAGCAATTGTCTAAAACATCCATTTACACTTCTTATTGCTTTCGACCAAATATCAAAAGGTTTTTCCGAGTGATATCTCTGTCTTATAATGGTTCCTTTTATTTTGTCGATGAATTCTTGACTAGGATTATTAAAGTTTCTACCGACAAGCCATCTCAGACCAGCCTATATAAATATTTCGTTATAGAGATTTGAGTTGCACTTATAATGATTTATATTTAATACAATAGGAGCTATGTAACTTATATATAAAAAAGAGAGATATGTAAATTACTCTATTTATAACTCAAGAACGACTGTACGTATAAATTGGCGGGGAGATAGCTTAGAACCAGGAGATGGACATAGGATATTTAATTTTGTTCGATCGAAAAAGTAAATAAATTAAAATATCTGGTTATTTATGGCCTCTAAGTCGAAATATAATTTGCCCGTCAGATATATTAATTATCAATACATATGTATACTACCAATTACGATATAAACGCGGACGAAGTCACTGGTCTTACCTCATCTGTTTCACTAATGTCCATTTGGTAGCAAAGGATCTGCCTCATCCTGGGGAAGCCTGTAGCTGGTACCAAAGCAACCACGTGCCAAGTCCCAAGAATGGATTTCATGTCATAGTTACCCTGGTGATTGTCGCAGTAATTGATATTCTTTTCACCCTGAGTCATAGTACTGGTAACATATATAATATATAGAACTACAAATAGAGGAGTCATCGTGTGAAGACTTCTCTTAAAGAAGTGAACAGGAGAGGGCTATAAATAATATGAAGCGGGAATTGAGTTAAGAAGTTTTAGAAGTGACAGTGAAAAAAAAAACGATTATTCTGTATAAAAATTTGAATTTGCTTATACTTACATATGTAAAGCGTAACTATTTCATAGTACTGAAATAATTATGAGATTCATTTTACATCAACTGTATTTTTGATTTTATATAATCATTTAAGTAAAATGTCTGGTTCTGATCACTGTAGAATTAAAAATAATATCATATTTTTAATTTATTATTTTTATATCTTTGTCCTTTCTATATTTTCATAGTTCTGTGATAGTGGTGTGCTAAAGTGTCACGTAGTTTAGAGAATAGAATAATTGCATTGCAGCGGTTAAACGGACATAGTGTTCATTGTAAATATTGACGTCAGATGTCACGTAATAGAATAAATACCACTAAAATTTTGCTTAACCAATATATGTGGAGTAGTTTTGAGTTTGGTACATAGTAGTTTAATCTGGTTTGTATGTAAATGAATTACATGTAAGAATTTAAAACTTTTATTATCTCGTACAATTTACTAAATACTATCTACTTGAGTTGTTTCGACTACATAATATGTTTCTTTTCTGTTCATCTAAGTCATAGTAAAGATATGTCTGGAGTCTATAATATAGAATTTTTCCATTAGTTTTGATCTTTTGTATTTTTTATACAGTTTTCAAAATGAAATTAAATTTTTTCCCATTCGATAGCGTTAATGAAAATTCTTCAGTGTGATTATGGCTACTTAAAAATCTAACGTTTTCAAATTTATCAACGAACATTAACATATACATATATGGAAATATATATTGTCTTATACGTTCAGGATACACTAACAAACATATGTTTCAATTAGAGATTAAACGTTCACCTAGTTTTGAATCATTCTCAAATTATATTCCTTATAATTCAACCCTAATAGAAAAACATCAAAATAGTTTTAGAACAGAACGTTTTATCTCCTCATATTGATTTTACAGAGGCTATCCAACGTAACAATTCACAGTGGCCATAACAAACACCATTCATAAGACCATTATTTTATATTACATCATATTTCATTTTATATTTGTTATTATGAAGGTCTTACAGATTTAAATATATTCCGAATGTTTAAATTTCACCATTATCCTTCAGCTTCTACAGCATCCTTGGAGATATTCTTTCTTAGCGAAAATACGGTCATTGTTTAAAAAGTCGAATCCTACATACATTTACTTGAACAAAGGCAGTAAAAACGGTTTATGGTCTTGTTATTGCCGTCCCAATGGACATGTTGTGTGGTCCAAGTTACAAGTTCATAGCTGAACTACAGTTACTACCATAGATACGTTTTTGTACGGTTTTTTTTCAAATAATTTACATATAATTTACATCTACATCAAGATTTATCATACAAAAACATAAAACATAAATAATTTAATATATGTTCTTTTATATTCTAAAAAATAAATTGCTTAAATAATAAGTATTATTTCGATAATAATAATTGCATTTCTAAAAAACATTTTATTGTTATTACATATTTTTTTAAATCTTAAAATGATCAAAAATCGCTGTATCTTTTATTTTAGGCCACCCCCAAACAACGGAACAGTAGAACAGATTTTAATGTATCCTATGAAAATCTTCATTCAGAGATCTCCCTTTGAATTTTAATATGAAATCCGAATCGGGACTTTATTAGCGTTGAATGAAACGGTAATAAATTAAAATAAGTTCTCAATTCTTTCACTTACAAACAAAAGTCAGAATCTTTGAAATTTTATTTGAAATGTGAAAAACATTTCGATAATTATTTCATGGAAGGTAATAATTTTTTTCAATACTTTTTGAGTTGTATAATTGCGCTGATAAAATTAATTGTGATATAATCTTGCCTTAGAACTATCAATAATTACTATTAAATCATAGATTTTTCTCTCTTTCTATGAACATTTTGCAATAGAGCATAAACATTATATTCCTTTTTAATTATTTTTGATAATGACAACTCACCATTTTATATTTAACCATAAATCATTCTAAACAACTTTTCCTTATTACATTTACGAATTTATATATAAAAAAACAGTAATTAATCTTACCCTTTCACGAACCGTTAGCTCTATAAATAAAACACTCGATTTCTGGCTCATTAACTGAAAGTTTTCATAAAGATCGTCCGAAACCCTTTTATAATTTCATTAAATATCAAAGCATGTTATTTATGACTGACGTTTTTTATTATTTTCGTTAATTATCCTTTTTTTTTTGATGTTGCAGGGAAACTCTTTCGTTAATTATCCTAAGTAGTTAAAATATTTTCATACATGATATAACACTTATATAATATTAATTTAAGGTCTTTGTTTTAGTTTTTAAGTTCTTATTTGTCGGTTTGGAGTGTAGTAAAGTCATTAAATAATAAGTGTTTATAAAATTGGAATATTGTTCTGAAAATAAAGTGATTTTATTTTATTTTTGATTTATATGAATATATGAATTTAAATTGACAAATCTTAAGTTGATACGTGAGATATAAGTCATCGTATGAACAATATGAGTATGAATTTATATCGTAATGGCATCGTTCGGTTTCAATCAGTTGCAATAGTTTGATAGGCCGCAGTAACAAGGTTAGTTCCCTTATGGAATGTATTACAGAGCTCCGTGTAGAGTGTGATCGTAAAACTTTACGAACTTTCGCCCTCTCAACCTATCTGTGACAATCATCTTATGACACAGACTAGAAATTTACAGACGTTACATAATATTAAAGTCATTATAATAATTTGGATTTTAAGATCAATTAAGGTGTCCAAACAACAAAAACGTAAGAGTAATTTCATGGTTTTAAGAAAGACAATATTATGTTGACTTATTTTTATGTCTACACTTATTTTATTACATCTTTCAAGTAGTACCTAAAGTAATTCTAAAATCTAAACTATTAGCCTACAGTACTCGGGTATGTTAAATGTATCTTTGTATATTATAAATCTTTCGTTGATAATTTTCAAACACTATACTTATAATACATAAATTAAAATAAAATACCGTAAATGAAAATTTAAATTTATATATTCCATACTAATAAATTTAATACTAATTGAATTCTCTGTTGGTAACTATTCTATACTATAAGGGCTGAGATTTCAATAAACGACATCCGATATGTGATTGCGTTTCAGACGTACAGCCGTTAAATGACAGACTGACGACATTCCTCCTTACTATATTACATAAATTAAATGACACATACAAAAGTGTACGATATTATGACTTCATAGCGAATGTGTATTATCTAAATTGATGTAATTCTGTGATAATCATTGAATAAAAATATTTTTTTATTATTATTTAATTTAGGAATTTATGAATGTAGGTGATTATTGATTATATATATTATTTAAAACAAAACTCCAATCAGATTATACCTGCCTTATAACATTAGAAGTTAAAACTAAAGCAATTATTAATAATCAAATATCCTAGATTAAATTCATATCTACATAATCAATCGATATTGAATCCATGTTTTTAAAGAAATGAAAAAGATAACACATGAAGTTTAATTTGTAAATGTCACGATTTAGTGCAGGAATTCGCCGCACCCAAAATGCAAATGGCTCGAAGCAATGACGTTGAACTGATAGGTGCATTACGTTCACACCCAGTTTATTAAACGTGTGTGCAGTTTTAATATTTCATTTTGCATGTCATGGATTAAGGCCGGCTGTAAATATATGATAGTCCGCATAAGCTTAACTGTTTTAAGTGAATGAATCATTCTGAAATGGTTAAAGTCTTCCTTTTTCATTGAATAATACTTCCTTATATGATATTTATTTTTCATCAACAATTATTCGAAGAATGTAATTTAACTTAAATAAAAAATACAGTCATGAACAATGATAAATGGAAGATTCAAAAGTAGGATTTCTATTTTTGTACATGTATTTATATAACAGTTTCATTAGTTTTTATATAGTTTTAGTATTTTAAGTCATTTTAGTCGTTTTTGTTCAAACAGCCTTATACAGTGCTGTGGCGAGCGTGTGCAACGATACATTCTCAGACCAATTTTTCATTTAAGAAGATTGACGACACGTTATGTTTACAACGAAACGGTAGACAAGAAAGTTATGTTGTATGATTTTTGTGAATAATGTTAGATGTATCGAAATAATGTATTAAAATATTGATAAATTTAGTAAGAAATCCTTTATATAAACTATAATAATTTAGTGAAAATTATGAAAATTAAATAAGTCTTTTTATATATGACTCTTATTACTAAATACAGATTTATTTGCGATTATATAAGGAATTTAAAACATGTAACCGGAGGGGAAACTAATTAATAGCATTTTGGGAGGAGGTAATAAGCAGGAATGTCTTCAGAAATTTAACATTAAAAATTCAATCCTTAAGTGCACCCCGACGAAGTCAGGTGTGAAATGAAAGTGTCTGCGTTTGTCGGATGTGATTAACCAATTAATTGGACCCTTTTGTGAGGAAATTGAGATTAGTGGTACCTTTGAAGGTGCAAGCGGTTGGTTAGTTACGAGTGTTTGCTAATTGATTCAAGATAAGGAAAAAGGGGTTTTAATAGTTATGGTTAAATGATGAGCTTCTTCCGAAATTATCTTGAATAAAATTTAATGATTTGGTGCGAAATGGAAATACATAACTAAGCATAAAAATATATTTCCATAAACTAATTTAATGTAACTATTAACGACTTGTGATTTTGTGACGTACACGATAGCTATCACGTGTGACGTCATCGCAAGGACTATAATTAATAAATTGTTATTAAAGTGATTATGACTCGTTTTAGTTTCACACTTAATGCAATAATTTCTTGATATTACCAACATAAAATGTAAAAGGTACATAAATATTTAATAAGAAGGCTTATTTATAATTTTGTTTCCAGTAAACTTTATTCTTTAACCTGTACAAAAAT